ATCAGTTGATGTTATATAAATTAATAATAATATTAAAAATATTAAAATAATTAAAATAATATTATAAAAAATATATTTTTTAAATATTAATATTAATCATAGTTATTATCGTAATAGTAATTATAGTTATGATTATTAACCCTTTGCACTCGACAATTTTTTCGTTACAGGAGAATAATAATTCGAAGACTTTCTGCCATAAAGTCGACGATATTTTTATAATGGTAAATAAGAAATCGTATGCAAATTAGGACGTAGAATTATTTTACTTCGATATTCCACGCATCGTTGGGTAATTGTAAATTTGATATATTAATTAACATCCATCTTTAGAATCTGATTAAATGGCGACTGAGAGGCGCCTCTCGAGTGCAAAGGGTTAATAGCATTAATATTAATCTTAACCTTAATATTAACAAATAGCAAATATTTTTCATGATGTTATAAAAATATTAATATTAGTTGATGTCATATAAAAATATTTTCTCTCAAAATGGCACTTTTGACTATTTTTATTCCCATTTCTCAGTAGTTATTAAAATTTGAATAATATTGAACGTAAGAACGGTGTTATTATTATTAGTTTCTTTTTTTTGGTAAAATTGTAAATGAGTTACTATTGTTTGATTTTCTACGACGTTGAAGTAGGTTGCGAAGAGTGATATTTTGAGCAATTTTTGTTTGTTAATATAGGTGGATGGATTTAGTGTCCCAGATATTCGAAATCATTATAATGGAAATAGTTCATCTAGAATGTTTCCTTCCTTTTTATTGCAATATTAGTCAATTTTATTACAATATTCGTGTACTAACATAATCTTGTGTAGTCATATTTCACTCCTGATGTTATGGTGTTTCGTTGAATGTTAAATATTGGAATTTCCTTCGCAAATGGTATTTTTTAATTAGAACTGGCTTTTGTTAGAATTTAATTATTTCATGAAAGTGTGATGAAATTAATATTCTGACACGAAATTAATGCTCAAGCTTGTTAGAAATACTATTCGAAATTAGAGATTTGGGATACTTTACGAATGCCATAATTGAGGATGATGGAACTTTAGATATATATGGAATGCTTTTGAACTAATTGTATCGTTACTATGAAAAGAGTGTCCCAAATAATGTTGAAAGAATATAATAACGTAAATAAATAGTTATTCTTCTGAAGAATCCTAGATTATTCATAACAATAATAAACAGATTTCGAAAATAAATATGTATAATCAAATTTCCATTTAAATAAATATTAATATTAATTTCCAAAAGAACAAAAATATTTTTTCAATAATTACAAAAATAAAACATTTCAAATAAATTATTTAAACTCGTTTGATAGTTCTTTGTGACTTATACAGGATAAAAGCATAGTACAATCTATATGGAGATAATTCCTCGCATAAAACTGAGTCGAAAATGTAGAATAAAATTTTTTCATATTCCGTTCCATTTTCGAAAAAATCAAGTTCAAAAATTCGAGAGTAATACGTCCAGTTCACGTTCCATTAATTTGTTATGCAAGCATTTATTTGTAATACCAAAGACGACATTTTGAACAACTATAAATTACTAAAATAAACCAGGTATCAAAATTTTTGACTTACTATCCGTTAAAATTATATCGCATCCTGCCCGATATCACTTACACGTACGAGCAGTAGTGCGTGCAAGCAGAGCAGACTATACCTAAACGCACCCTCACCCAACGAATCTTCGAACTCGATTTTCTCAAAAACGAAGCCTTGTATGAAAAAATTTTATTCTACATTCTCGATTCAGTTTTATGCGAAGAATTGCCTACATCTAAGTACACCGCGATTTCATGAGTATTCTTTATATAAAAATTGTTTCCATTGAGCACTCCCATGATCAAAGTGTTTTAAAAAATTTCTAGGTCTCGGCAAGTATAATCCTCAAACACTGAAACTAAAATTTCTTCATTCCAGTGTATAGCAGTGGCACTAACTTCGAACCTAGCCAAATCGACTGCACCTTCATTCAACGTCCAAGGGTAGCCATGTCAATTAAGCGAGACTTGCCAGCAAGATGACCTCGACGAAGCCGATCATCGCGTTTCCGTGGCTGTTGCGATCCTACAAGAGACGTAGGTTCAAGTCAGAATGTCTAACTTTCGTGTTCGCCTGCCTTTTGGCGAGTTGCTTGGCCAGAAACAATCCACCGCGTTTCCTGATCGACGACCAGACGGAAATCATTCTCAGGCTGAAGGAAGGTCCTGATATGCCAGTTGGTGAGTACATCTGGAACTCCATTTTGCTTCCATTTGCACGACCATATGTTTTCACTGTATGTATCAACATGTGGTTTTATTTATGCATGGGACAGTGGTGGCTAGTACTGGTAGTTCGAATTCTGGGGTTCAAATCGTTTGATGTCTTCGAAATTATTGTTTCGAATATTCTCAAAGTGTAATTAGAAGCCTCGAAATCTTGGAATTTTAATGTGTAAAACAATTTTGAGACGATTATAGGTTTTCGAGACTATGGAACCTAACCCAAACCTAACATTTACAATTTTTGGTTATATATATACAAGGGTAATTTTGAAACGATTCTAGGTTTCTAAAATTGCAGACTCTAACCCAAACCTAACCTTTACAATTTTTTGTTATATATTTACAAAGGAAATTTTTGAAACCATTCTAGGTTTTCAAAATTGTAGAACCTAATGCAAACCTAACCTCTGCAATTTTCTGTTATGCATGGATGCAAAGGCAATTTTGAAACGATTCTAGGTTTTCAAGATTTTAGAACCTAAACCAAACCTAACCTCTACAATATTTTGTTATATATATATGCAGAGACAATTTTGAAACGATTCTAGGTTTCCAAGATTCTGTAATCTAACGTAAACCTAACCTCTAAAATTTTTTGTTATATGTCTATGCAAAGGTAATTTTGAAACGATTCTAGGTTTTTAAAATTATAGAACCTAACGCAAACCTAACCTCTGCAATTTTCTGTTATACATCTATGCAAAGATAGTTTTGAAACGATTCTAGGTTTTCAAGATTCTGGAATCTAACGTAAACCTAACCTCTAAAATTTTTTGTTTTACATACGTATATAAAAATACAATTTCGAAATGATTCATTACCTTCGTGATTATGGCAATTAAAATCATTCCAAATACGACTGAGTGTTTAAAATTTTTAGAATTCTATTGCATATATAGGTGACTTCATCGTCAAATTTTGAAATGTTTCAAAACTTTTGTAACTATTAAAATTCGAATTGTTTCAAATACGATTGGATGTCTAGAACTCTTGAAAACCTCTGTACCTCTTGAAAAATTAAGAAATTTGGTAAATTTTCATAGCTTTGAAAATTATGAAAGCCTAGAATTGTGACAGACATTCGAATCTCAGCTTCGTTCATGGTTCAACGTTCTTAGTATTATAACAATTAAAATTGTTTATTATAATAATCTGAAGCCTAAAACTGTTGAAAGTCTCTCTAAATCTTGAATATTTCGAAAATCTGAACAATTTTTATGGTTTTGAGTGTCCCGAGACCCCCTAAATTCTTGATAGACATTCGAATGTTATTTTTGAAATGATTCGAAGTACTTGAGACTATGATAATCTTCAATCCCATTAAATATGATTGAAAATTAAAAATTTTTGATAAACTTCATAAGCTAAAACTTGAAAGTCTCGAAAATTAAAGAAATTTTGGAAATTTGGATACCTTTTGGAGTCTTCTGGCTTTAAAGTCAGCTCAACCATATAAAAGTATAATGAACAAAGGAGAAAGAAGATTTAGGTATTAAACGAAAGATAAGTATGAATTTTTTTTACTCAAATTACTCAGCCTTATCTAGGAAAACAAAGTACCGCGATAAATACGATAAACGAGTGAAAAATGAACAACGTAACGAAATTAAAAGTTAAAGTATTCTTACGTAGTGCAATGTTCTATTTCCTGAATATCTAATTCGAATGAACGAAATGAATGAGATGATTAACAAGCTTCCTGTCATGATGTTAAACATTCAAATGATTGATGTATTAGTAGATATATTTAACAACTGAATATTTTTCACAAGTTAATAAATTTACTCCTGTAACTATAGGAATTGTTGTTTCTAAATTATTTAGTAGCAATAAATAAGCAAGGAATTATGTATGGAAGAATTAGATAAGAGAAATTTGATGCTTGCAAGCGTTACAGTAGTTGCGCCCCCTTTTAATTAAACATACAATTAATTTCGAGTCGTAACGATCTTTTCAGTTTGTTATTTTAAATTATTGCTAAACTATACGAGCCATATCAAAGATAGGCGAGCAGATATATTATACAATATATATCACTTCCTCATTCTGATCAATTAAGATAGAAAAAATTACGATAATTGTAGAATATAAATATTTAATCGTTTGTAATCAGAATTTTATTTGTTCGTAAGAAAGAATGTTGTAATTGGTTAATTTGATGAGCAGACTTAATATTTCAAAATGAAAGTTCGTGGACTAATGAAAGGAAATTATGGCAATATATTGCAGTATAAATTAGAACTAATAAATTTCCTTGCACTTGTGCATATATTTCAAGTGTATTTTATATATTGCATGTATCGAGGTATTATACCAGCATAAAGTCTCACTGTCTGATCATAAAATAGATCAATTCTTCCATAGATCATATTATAATTATAACAAATAGGAGGTACTTCGAAGGAATATTTATTATACTTAAATAACAAATTTTTCTCTCACTTCTATCTAAATCCACCTTTCAAAAATTATGCAATTTTTCTATATTCAGAGACTTCTAAATTAAAGAGAAATAAAAGCAGTATTTTAACAATACCTCAATCTCACATATTAAAATAAATAATAATAGTAATTCAATTCCATAAACTATTTTAATTTTTCTAATAAATATTCATTTTTACTATATACTTATTTATTTACCAATAATATATTCATTTCCTAATTATGTTTCCAAAATAAAAGAAAGGTATTTCTTGGTGATATATATTATAGTTAGATAAAATTTTTCTTTCACTTCTATACTTAAATCCACTTTCCGAAAAGTCTGAAATTTTTCTAAGTTCAAGGATCTTTAGATTGAAAAAAAAAAAAAATAAAATAAAATGAGAACAGTATATTTAATAATACTTCAATCTCAAATTTTGAAATAAATAATAGTAAGCCAAATCCATAAATTGTTTTAATTTTTCCAATATTCAATTTTGTTATTAGCTTATTAACGATTTACTTATTTATTTACGTATTTACTTATAATATATTAATTTCCTAATTACCATTCCAATACAAAGGGAAGATGGTTCTCAAAAATATTTACTATAGCTCACTAAAATTTTTCTCTTTTCTACCTAAATCCACTTTCCAAAAAGTATGAAATTTTTCTAAATTCAATGATTTTTAAATAGAAAAGGAAAAAGGTGAAAACAGTACATTTAACAATACCTCAATCTCACATTTTAAAATAAATAATAGTAAGTCAATGTCATAAATTATTTCAATTTTTCAAATATTCAATTTTGCTATTAACTTACTAACGATTTACTTATTTATTTACCTATTTACCTGTAATGTATTAATTTCTTACTTATGTTTCTAAAAGAAAAGGAAGGTATTTCTTGGGAAAAATTTATTATAGCTCACTAAAATTTTTCTCTCCTTTCTACCTAAATTCACTTTATAAAGAGTATGAAATTTTTCTTAATTCAAAAGTTTCTAAATTACGAAAGAAATAAAACCAGTATTTTAACAATATTTTAATCTCACGTGTTAAAATGAATAAAAATAATAATTCAGTCTCATAAACTGTTTTAATTTTTCCAATATTCAATTTTGCTATTAACTTACTAACAATTTACTAATTTATTTACCTATTTACTTATAATATATTAATTTCCTAATTACGTTTCCAAAACAAAAGGAAGGCATTTCTCAAGAAAAATTTATTATAGCTCACTGAAAATTTTTCTCTCCTTTCTACCTAAATTCACTTTATAAAATGAAATTTAATAAAATTTAGATAAATTAAATAAAATAACTTAAATAAAATTTAAAATATGAAATTTTTCTTTATTCCAAAATTTCTAAATTACGAAAGAAATAAAAACAGTATTTTAACAATACCTTAATCTCACGTGTTAAAATGAATAAAAATAATAATTCAATCTCATAAACTGTTTTAATTTTTCCAATATTCAATTTTACTATTCACTCATTTATTTACCTATAATATATTCATTTACTAATAACGATTCCACTATGATTCTATTTATTCGTTGACCATTAATTTCCATTTAATTCGCGTAATTGCGATTTATGTACCCTTTCGCTCATTCCCGTAACCGCAAAATGAAATACCATGTTACGAGCTCCCCATGACAATTACTCCTTCGAAACTACTATATTTCCCGGGCTTCTTTTTACGTTAACCATCCTCCAGTGACTGCATGCCCATGCACAGCGTCTACAGCCCAATCAGCATTTCCGCACATTTAAATTAATTACGCCGTTTGTTCGCTGCCGTATCGTGTTGCGATTCGTGCCGACTGGTTTCTGTTGCAGGCAGTTTAATTTACAGGCTTCGCGGCGTCGATCCTGACGGTGACAGCCTGACGTTCGGCGTTAGAGATCAACCTGGCAGCGACGTGATCCGGGTCGAGAATTTTAGTCCAAGCGAGGCCAATATTTACCTGAACAAATTGCTCGACAGAGAGGTAATTCTTTCCCGAGACGGTCTATTTCGTTCTAATGATTTTCTTTCGTTCGGAAAATTCCGTGGGATGTCATCAATGGCTTTCAACTTGCCTCGCGATCGTTCCTTTCATCTAGGTACCGTTCCTACTGCGGTTATCAACGGTGCGAGAAGAAAGTTGACAATGGCTACGTTATTGCGAGTGAATTTAGCTTCGGATATCGATGAAAGGCAAGAATTTGTTTACTTTCGCAAAGAAAATTTGACGAATTCGCTAATTTTTGTAAAAATTAAGAAAAATATTTTGTTTAGGAAAATTTGAATTTGTTTACTTTTGTGGAGAAGGAAGTAAATTGTTTTGCTTTGTTCGATTAGAGAAATTATCGTACTTTGAGTATCTTCGATATTTTGATCTTGGTTCGCGAATTTCGGTGATTTAAGTATCGTTGGCGAGTACTGTCTTGGTTGATGATTCAAGGGAAAAATTGATGACAGTGAGGTATCGAGTAGAATCAAAGTAGAGTATTTTTTGGAAGTAGGAAATTTTTTGGAGAAATGGGAATGTGTTCGATTCTGTTTAATTTTTGACACAGTTGGAGCTTAATTCATATTTTTCAGTACTGAGATTACGAATATTGTTAGTATTGTAGTTATTAATAATGATGGGACAGATTCAATGGCAATGATCTATTGGTCTATTTTAGATATATTTTAGATAAATATATGAGGTTCGAGGTTTTTAGATATATTTTAGATAAATATATGAAGTTCGAGGTTAAACAATATTTAAGAAAATAATGTAAAAAATAGTAAATCAAATTTTTACTAAAATTCGTGTATTCTAGAAAACTTAAATATACACGTGTTTCCTATGATTTTTCAAATATTTATAAATTTTTCTGTCAATTTTATTAACTAAATTTCTAAGAAATACTCAACATTAAGAATATATATACATATATGGCATCTAGTCTAGTGAATAATGTTGCTGGTTTATGAAATATTACAAAAATATACAATTAAAAATAATATGACATGAATTTTCTATCTAAAATTTGTATCTTCTTAAAATTTTAAACACGTATTCATTTTCTATAATTTTTTAATGATTACAGACTTCTATATCAGCTTCACTATTTAAATTTCTAAAAATCAGTCGACCATTATGAATTACATAATACCATTATGTAGTCTCTATAATTTTTAAATTCTTTTTACGTAAATATTACTGAACACTTAAACTTTCATAACTTTTAATTTTCCTTGAATTTTTAAACACATACATATATACGTCCTATCATTTTTTGAATACATGTAATTTATTAAATAATATTAAATTTCTATTTTAACGTAATTGCTCAATTTTCAAAAATTATTTAACACCACCACATTTTTCTACAACTTTTCTAATATTTTTTACACAAAAATATAAACATTCATAACACTTCAGGCATTCTTGAAAATTTGAACAAATACATTTTTCTTATAATTTATCAATATTCATAATTTTCTATTTCAATCTAGATTTAACATTGCTAATATTTCTTTGAAACTTTTCTCATATTTATTAGATACATATCTAGACCTTCATAATACTTCAATCACATGTAAAAATTTAAACAATCATATTTTTCTTATAATATTTCAATGTTCACAATTTTCTATTATTTCAGTCTAGCTATTTAAATTCTCAAGATTACTTAACATTGCCACATTCCTCTAAAACTTTTTTCATATTTGTTACATAAATATCTAGATTTTCATAACACTTCAATCACATTAAAAAATTTAAACAAACATATTTTTCTTATAACTTTTCAAAATTCACAATTTTCCATTATTTTAGTCTAGCTACTTAAATTCCCAAGATTACTTAACATTGCCACATTCCTCTAAAACTTTTTTCATATTTGTTACATAAATATCTAGATTTTCATAACACTTCAATCACATTTAAAAATTTAAACAAACATATTTTTCTTATAATTTTTCAAAATTCACAATTTTCTATTTCAACCTAGCCATTTAAATTCCCAAAATTACTTAACATCGGCACATTTCTCTAAAACTTTTCTACTATTTTTTACATAAATATCTCTATCCTCATAACACTTCGATCATATTTAAAATTTTAAAGAAACCTATTTTTCTTATAATTTTTCAAAATTCGCAATTTTCTATTTTAACCTATCTATTTAAATTCCCAAAATTAATTAACATCGCCATATTTCTCTAAAACTTCCCTACTTTACATAAATCTTTTACATAAATATCTATATCCTCGTAAAACTCCAACCACATTAAAAAATGTAAACATCTATTTCTTCGAATTTCTTCAATATTCACAAAATTCCCTCGAAGCTCAGAAAACGACCCAATCCCACCCCTTCAACACCATCCACACAACAATAACCGTAATCACAAACACATTAGCATCCCATCTACCCAAGACATCGCCACAAACGACTCCATCTCGCCTCCCCATCCTCCTCTCCAGAAATAGCGGTCACGAAGGCTCGAAGTGTAATTTTTACCTTTACCTATTTTACACGTGACTCGTCCGAAGAAAAATGATTTCTACGTTCACCGGTTCGGTGTCGTGCATCTCGCACGAGTGATCCCCGTTGTTCGAATATCTTTCACGCACAGCAGGTTCGATCATGGTGTACCACCGTCGAAGGCATTAAAGAGAAACTCAGGGACGAGCGAGCGAGCTAAAGAACCGTGCAACCGGTGATCTACGCTGGATCTATTCGTGGAAGTTGTTATTTTGTCATCATCGTCTCTCTTAAACGTGACGGTTTGCGTGCTGGCTTAATTTCTTGTTAAGCAGTACCGTGTGTCCCGTGATTATTGGGTGGAGACTATGCCCTGATGGAGATTATCGCCATGCTCTTGTAGCAATCCGGATAATCCTGCTGCTTTCTAAGTGACAGGGTAGTTTGCATGTTGCCCAGTTTTCACCATCGTTCCACGCTTCCACATCGGCTTCTTCGCGAACTCGCGACCATCATCATGCAGAGACATGATCGAGCATATATGAACATCTTTGACTGGATTTTTTCGTGTCCAGGTTGTGGTAGGGTACAAGAAAATCAGTCTGCTGGTGTGTTATTAATACACATTGGCAATCTGTTTCTATGTTCTATTCAGGGATAGCTTGTGTAATTTCGTCCTCTTCTACTGCCCGCAAATTGTTTGTTATTCCAGGAAGTGTTTCAGACAAAAGTTAGTTTTGTTTTTTAGGAAGTAGAACTGTAATCTCGAGTTGTTAGGTTGTTGATTGGTGGATTTAAAAAAAGGGAAATAATTGCGATACGCTGTAGTATGAATTAAAAATAATAAATTTCCTTGCACTCGTCATGCATGTATTTTGCGTACTTCGAGATATTGTAACAGCACGAAGTCTCACTGTCTAATCGTAAACTGGGTGCATTTTTCCATAGGATCTACTGTAATTATAACAACAGGAAGATAGTTCTCTGGAATATTTATCATAGTTCAGTAAGAAATTTCCACTTTGCAAAAGATATGAAATTTTTCTAAATTCAAAGATTTATAAATTGAAGGAAAGAATAAAGACAGTACTTTAGCAATATCTCAATATCACATATTAAAATCAATAATAATAATGATAATTTAATCGCATAAATTATTTTAATTTTTCTAAGTTTCAATTTTTCGCTTATTTATTTACTATTCTGATACTAGTCGCCAATTGTTTATTATTCCAGGAATAGTTTCAGACAAAAGTTTACCATTTTTTTAGGTAGCAAAGATATAATTTGGAGTTGTTGGGTTGTTGAGATAGATTTATGGAGAATGTGAAGGTTAATTTAAATGTTTAAATAAGTCAAAGCAAAAAATAATTAATCTGGGAAAAATTTTGGAATTATTGTGTCCAGGAATATTATTTAATTTTATTTAATTATTTCAGTTTAGGTACGTTCGATATTTACAAAATGTTACTTGCATATTTGTTGCATATCATCAGTTGTGCAAATCACTATGAATTTGTACGAAATGATTAGAATAGCTTCTATAAAATTCAAATAACTAAAGATAAAACCAAACCATTTATAGAAAAGAATTTCTATTTTCAAAATTATTCTATTAATCCTTACAAGTGCAACAGGAATATTAGATAAATGTTATAGTTTGCAGACATATACTGAAAATTTCTTAAAAAAGGATAACATCAATTTCAGATTAAAACGATATTAACATTCTCCCTAAATATCAAAGACCCACATTCAAAAATTATTTAAAATTCGAATGAAAAGAATTGTCATTGAGAATATAGCGAATGGTATATAGACGTCAAGAATAATCGATCTAAAACCGTGATTCCTTGACATGCCTTTAGGTAAGGGATGAGTATGCATTGGTGTTGACTCTGACAGACGGCAGGCTAGGTGAAGGGAACTTCATCACGCAAAGTCTGCTACTGCTGGTGGAAGACATTAATGACAACGTGCCAATCTTCCGGCCACATCCGACTTCCTTGACTCTGCGAGAGGATTCCGGGCCAGGCATTTTAGCAACTGTGGAAGCCACCGATTCAGACTTAGGTGCACATGGGCAGGTGGTTTATCACCTGCAGGAACTCGATGGCGATAATGACGTGTTCAGCATTTCCACTGTCAATGGGAAAGGTGTCATTCGCCTTGTCGGACGTCTCGACTACGAGAAGAAATATTTGTACCAGTTGAGGATCTTGGCAATTGATCGAGCGATAAATGAAAAGGTTGGTCATTGCATGTCATGTATAGACATACACAGGATGAAAAGTTGATAATAAAAGTAAACTTCGTAATCAAAGGTTGAGATGAAAATATAATGTAAAAATAATAAATAACGAAAGGATAATGTTATGTTTCTAATTTTAGAGCAGTGGAGTTTACTATACTTAATCGTATTGCTAAATTATAACGAAGGAATTAATTTAATTTAATAATTTTCTTGAGAGAGAAAAGAAAACAGTCAAATTTAGTAACAACCCAAGGTGCTGAGAAATTTGAATAAAATAAAGAATAAATAAATAAATGCAAACAAAATTTGGAACCCTGTCGATAATAGAAGATTGTTGGGCAAGGTCGAGAATTAAATTAATTTTGTCCGTGATAATCGTGGATTAAGAAGTCAAATTATGGAAATTAGTTTATGGTGTATATCGAACCAATGGGGAATTACAGCCTTAACTGTGGCTCGCAACGGAAACTGTTAAGACACCGTAATGATAGGACTTACTACATGACCATGTGGTCCAAAAAGTTCAAAACCGTTTCCGCTAACTTATCTGGAGGAATTACGAAATTTAGTTGCCATTTAACCCTAATTAATTAATTATATATAAATCTGACGAACAGAGACTCTATCCTCAAAATGTTAGGAATGTTAGATGTCTAGATTAGATAATATGAAAGCACAAAGGAAGGATACCAATTGTATTTGAAAATAAAATAATAATGGAAAATTATAAACAAACATAAATTAATACAATTCGTATATCCAGTGGTTATTAATTAAATTATAAATTAATTTAATAGGTCAATAAATTAGAAAATAATTTAATTTATAACGAAATTAATTCAATTGATTAGATAAGTATTTAAAAATTGGTAATAGATATTGTAAATATCTTAAAGATTAATTATCTAAAATACCCGAAATATATGAAAAATATTTTAAATATAAATTACACTAAATTAAATTAAATATTTCAAATATAAATATTAAATTTAAATAACTTTTCTAGATTTAATATTTATATTTTAAAAATTCTTTTAGGTCGTTCATCTCACTGCGATTAGGATACGTAAAAATAGGATTACCTGTTGTCATTGTCACCTTGAAACTTGGCATAAGGGTACAAACGTTTCATTCGAGATAGTGCCCACATAGCAATACACAGTTATCTTCGCGTTAAAAAGTATCTTTATAAATATTTCAAGGACAATGGGAGTACTTAGGTGGTTAGAATAAATTGACGTAATTTCTCGTGATACAAATGGCAATTGCTATTGTACAACGCGTTGTTTGCAATTTTAAAGTGGAATGGGAGATGAGTATTTCTCAGTTTACCTTCGTTCGTAATTATTTCAGGTAAACACAGGAACAACCGCGATACTCGTTAAGGTTCAGGACGTCGAGGATCAACCTCCGGAATTCATAACCATGACACCTGTTGCCAGGATCAGTGAAAATGCTAGAATAGGTTCATTTGTACTTCAAGGTCAGTTAACTTATTACTCTCATTAAAGAATGATAACAACTGGTAATGAGAAATAGAGAGAAACAAATTTTCAAATCACTATTTGTTATCATATATTTTTATTTAATGTATACTTATTTTTATATTTAATACATTTTTAATATATTTATTATATTTGTATGTTTTTATTTAATTCAAAAATTAAATTAAATAATTGATTCCTTAAACAGACATATGATATTTTAAAAATTTCAGTATGAATATATTGTGGTATTAATTAATTGTGTGTTCATGTTGATAATTATTTGATAAATGTTATGTACGTAATAAATATTGAAATTTAGAATTTATTTTTGTAAATAATTTTTGTCCAAGTGGATAAATGAATAAAGGAAATAATTTCGAAGATTTTGAATTACCAATTTTCTGTAGTTCTACTTTAAATACTACATTTCAGTATTTTTAATTAAATTTAAAAAGTTAAATTTTCTTCTGATATAAAAGCTAGTATTACCTATCACTAGCATGACAAAGAAAATTATAAAAAGAAAGAAATACTTCAAATAAATATCAAAACGAAAATTCAAAAATCACTTTGACTATCTCAATATTTCTACCACTAATTCACTTAATGCAATTTTTAAATTATAAAATATACTATCACTAGAATTACTATCACCTATCACTGTAACTATAATGATCAATGTGCTATAATGAAAAAGTTATGAAAGTTAGAAAATACTTCCAATAATTGTGCAAATAGAAATTCAAAAACCACTTTGACCATTTCAATAATTCTAACATTAATTCACTCGATACAATCTTTAAATTGCAAAAGATACTAACAGCAAAATTACTGTCACCTATCACTATAACTATAATAATTAAAGTGACATGATAACAAAAATTGACAATTAACAAATGAAAGTCAGAAAATATTCCAGTAATTGTAAAAAGAAAAATTCAAAAACCACTTTGACCATCTCACTGTAACACAGTCTAATAATTAACACAATTAATTATTATTAATATTAACACAGTGAATGTAACATCTAAATCACAAAATATTTCTCAATTGTTAACTTGAAAAATCTTACAGTTCGTGCCGTGGACGGTGACAAGGGAATAAATAACAAAGTGACGTACAGCATCACGCAAGGTCCGAGGTACTTGTTCGACATAGACGCGACTTCCGGTTTGGTGTTCACCAGGGCGCAACTCGACCGAGAAGCGGAGGAGAACTCCGAGGGAACCTTCGTCCTGGAGATCACCGTGAAAGAAGTATCGAACATAGTACCCGCACCGTCAGTTTCCACCGAAGTCACTATTATTTTGACGGATGTGAACGATGAGATCCCAAAGTTCAGAAGCGCGAGATATCGCGCCGAGATAAACGAAAATGCGCCGTACAATACGCCGGTTAATTTCATCGGTGATGCGATACCGGAAGTTTACGATCATGACCTGGTGAGAAGCAGACGTTGGATAATTCCGTGAGGTTATTGTGAAACGCAGGAAGAAGAATTATGATTCGATTCAATTCCCTACGATTTTGTTTCAATGCTCCATTTATAAGTATTATAAACCTTAAATTTATTTATTTTAAAAATTCGTTTCGAGAAATTAAAATTTATTTTCATTATTTAAATTATCAATAATTCGTGTTGAAATTGTGTAATTTAATTTGGATTTTTGGGTATTTAATTGGAAGAGTTTTCAACAGAATTTTCTTTCTTTCAGAATTTTAAAATAGAAATTAAATATAAAAATTAAATATATATTAATAATAATAATATAAATATATATTAATAATATTTATTTAATTTTTATTTTTGCATTTTGAATTTAAGTATAAAAATTAAATATTCTGAAGGGTTTTGTTATTCTAATATTGTTAAATTTAATTTAGTTTCTTTTGTGATCGATTATGCGATTTCTTTGTTCAATTTTCTTCAGAAGTTATGTTTGAAATGCACTATGCCGAAAAGTGTTATTATTATAACATTTTATTTTAGATTTTTAATTTTTAAATCCAAATTTAATTTAGATTTTTGCATAGTCAATTTTATTTTTGCAATCTTAAAAATATATAATTAAAGAATAAATTAGAAGTAATTAATTTAAAAATGAAACGTTCTGAAATTGCTTCAAGATTTTCAAATTTAATTTCAATTTTTGTTTAATCACTTGTGAGAATTGTAAATAAATTTTCTTCCTTCTAAACTCCTGAAATAGAGATATAAATGATACTGATCACAGTTTCTGTTTTGCATTCGAAGTTTTGAACGAAATTTTCTACCAATAAGTGACTCAACTCATTGTTTCCAACAGGAGAAACTTGGAAAATTTGCATCACAGATTTCTGCGTTACATAATGCATTGTTATTGTTGTTAATTATCACTTGAACAGACTCGATAGCTGCAATGCCTTTACTTTTACTTTGATTTGCTTCACTCAAGCATAAGATAATTTATTTATGCGCAAAAATTCGAAATATCTTTTTCTTATTTAATAGCGAGCTAAATATATTTATGTGGAATGATGTAATTTAAATTGGAATTTAAATAAGTGCATTGTCTTAACGAGAAACACGATTTCAGGGAACGAATGGTACGTTTAAAATGTTCATCGAGGGTGATGATGGAATATTCGACGTAACTCCATCGAGAGGAATCAACGAAGCTCCCTTCCTTATACGCGTTAAGAATTCCAGTAAACTCGACTTCGAAGTTAGATCAGGTATTTAGAATAGTTATTCAGCATTTTTGGGAATATTATGGAAAGAATGAAATATTCACGTTATTTTCAATTTTATAATATTATAATAAACTTAAAATAGGTAAAATGTAAAATATAAACATAATATTCTTACTATTCTTATATATTTTATAATTTCT